CCTGAATGACTGGTATACAATGTGCACTGATGTAGAATGTCAAAGCTTATTTTGAAGTTGAGGAATAGTCAAAATCCCATGAAATGTGTGTTTTTCAAATTGTGCTCGCTAATCCACAATAACAAAACGTATTAGAAACTAACTTGATGGGTACATTTTACTCGTTAAATAAATAAACCCAAACGGGAAATACAGTGTATAAACGTAAGACTGGCCTACATTAGTATACAGACGTGAAACAGTAGGAAAAACGTTAGTCAAAAACTCACAAACTTGCACACAACGAACGCTTAAACACACAATTTACAAATTTCTGTCGTGCATTCTCTCAATCCACCAACGACTTTCGTGAACATACTCGGTCAAGATTCAACATCTTTGCCGCAATCGTTATCCAACACTGTAGCCTGAAATTATGAATAAATACAATCTGACCACTAATGTAGAAAAAGATTCAAACAGTACTCTTTCCGAGGTGCTATTGAGGACAGGTAGCGGCCAGTATCCAAACGATTTAAGCTATGCACAGTGTATCATAGCATAATCATACAGCACGCTCTTATACGAACTATCTTTATACATCAAACAACTATCAGGTCTGACATCTCGTTGGTTGTTTTTGATCGAGCTAAACTTAATTCAAACCTACTTTTCCTTCCTCCTTGCCGACACATACTAATGATTATTTGAACATGTGGTCATTGTATAGAAACTGATTACAGATAAAGTCAAAAGCTAAGCTACCATTTCAAAATTCCGATAGGTGCCCGACAGAGCAATCCGACCAACATGCAATGTACATGTACTGTGGACCCCTATTTATAATCGACTACCAGGTGGAGTGTTTCTCTACCGATAACAGCCTTCGTCTCGCCGACTGATACGTTGCATGATTCCCAAGGCGGTGTTATTTTTAGTGGCACAACTACCCACCATTATTCACTCAATACCAGTAGTAATCTGTTGAGAGATATCCCATGTATGCCTCGCATTAGTTAATGACCCTCTTTCCTCTGTGCGTTCTCCACCAGTATTCCTCAACGACTCCTGTAATATATTTCACCGTTTATCAAAAAGCCTCTTGTTCTTTACAATTGATTGAGGTCGGAGTAAAGCGCAGGAAGAAATATTAAAAAAAGTCACTGAAATAAGTAGTATCTGTTCAGAACTACAGTGTATATAAATCTTGAAAACCATAACAACGCTGCAGAGTGTGTTTAGCAAAAGACAAATTTTAAAGGGGAATAAATTGTGATATGATTATAAATTGCCTTAAATTCATTTTAGCGCTTGGAAGCCAGGTTTGGGCATGAACATAATGCGTGAAAAAGTTCATTTTACATGTGAAATAAACTCAAGCCTAAAGCCCGTCCATGTACATTTACTTGTACCAGGGATAAAAAAAACATTGTGTAACAACAACAACAACCTATTTGACTCTCTATTACATGTATAGCCCCTAACCTTGGCTAATGGTTAGCACTTGCTGTCATCTGTCAACGCCCGACTAGCCACTTGTCCCCGGGCCCCGAGTCCCTCGTAAAGCACCACCATTCATTACATACAACCAATGGCCACAAGGAAAAGTTACGTGTTGGTTATCGATTATTTTTTGGTCGGAT